CTTTGGGGTTTTCTTATCTTTATTTCAGTTAAGTTACTCTAGTATTCCAAGGTTTTTGAACAATAAAAACAGTATTTCAGATATGACTAATTGATTAAATTGACATGGTCAGTTCCCTCAACAGTTAACAGCTATAATATAATAGCTATCATCCTGCCTATTGAAAATGTCCTGAGTGGTACTCTAAAAATATTTGAATGAAGAATGTAGTCCCTGAGATAACAAATAATAATAAAGGATTCTTTTAATCCAATCAAAGACCAAATGCCAAGGTAGCAATGTTGAAACAAAATTACTGAGGCTGACATAGAAGATATCAGAAGAAGAAAATCTGACTATAGCTGGTGACTACCAAATGAGTCTGCAGTGCTGCTGATATAAACTCATGGAGTCGACTGTATTTTAACAAGAAGGTGTGGTTCTGAAGTTGGCTATGAGGATGAAAAAGAAAATATTGAGGAGAAGCAAATTATTAAAGTGTGAAAAGCTTTAGACTTTTTAGTTCTCCTGTGTTATTAAAGGCCCTATGCCTAATCTTAACTTTGACCATATAATTGTTCTGAAGAAATACAATATCATCAATCCAGTAGCCAAGATCTTTTTGAAATGTATTTCCCAGGCCCCTGAACTCAATCCCTTGAAGTCCAAAGTGTATCTAGTAGGTATTAGTATTATATTACTAATAGTTGTATTTAATATTTATTGTGTCTCTATGAATGGTACACTGCCAGATGCTTTAAATGAAGTATTTTATTCTCAAAGTTCTTTGAGATAGTTATTATTATGGTCTTCCTTTCATAGGCAAAGTCATTAGATTTATGGAAGTTAGGAACTTCTAAAATATATCTCAAATGCATGTTTTAGGTACAGTGCATTAAAAATTCCATAATAAATATAAAACTGGGAAATTTTATTTATTCATTGCTTTATAATTTATTTGAACATTGCTTAAGAGTTAAGGACAGGAAATGAAAAATGACGTGAAGTACAATCATGAATTCAGTTGGACTTGTTCACCCTTTTTTTATTAGCTGGTTGCTCGAATTAAATTTTCTTTGGGGTAACACCTTTGGAATAAGAGAGACCAGGATTTGAATATTAACTTTACTGATTATTAACTGGCTACCTTTATAATCAGGTTATTTAAATATCCTGTGGCTTACTTTCCTCATCTGGTATATGGGCATAAAACCTTCTTCACAGGTCTCTTGTAAATACAATTGATCCTAATTTTTCAAGGATCCTGAATTTGCAAATTTGACCATTTGCTGTGATTTATTCATGACCCTGAAGTCAGTACATGTAAAGTTTTTAGTCATTTACAGAGTTGTAAGATATTTTAGTTACCCATGAACAAGGTGAATGACTTCTTATTTGATCTCTCATACGATAAACAAATATCCCTTTGTGGTCCATTTAGTTGCCATGATTTTACCATTTTATGTATTTACTTAGGAGATTCTGCCACTTATAATAGCCCTCTAAGTATAGTGCTAAAGTACTGAATAGTTATCCTAAGCAAAGAAGGCTGATATATGCCTTTTGGAGAAAATATTTTATAAGGCTTATATTTTATAAGCCTTTTGAGGCGTGAGTTGTAGGGCTATTGTCTGTTTGTTCAATGTTAATAAATCAGCAATATATATTAAATAAGATATTCTTGTTACTGGGGATTGAATCCAGGGATGCTTTCCTACTGAGCTATAGTCCCAACTGTTTTCATTTTTTAAATTTTAGACTGGATCTTCCTGAGTTTCTGAGGCCTCAAACTTGTGAACCTCCTGCCTCAGCCTCCCTAGTTTGTTGTTGGGATTACAGGAGTGTGCCACCACATCTAGCTTACTAAAATATTTTTAAACAGAAATAAATGGAGATCTTGTGACCAGAGGCTAATCCTGAATTTTTATTAGGAAAAGTGGCTCAGTATTTACTAATTTCATGTTCCCAGAGACTGTATAAATTTAGCAAGAATAACAATAGTTTACTGTTTGTAAAGTACCAAGTGCAACACTTTAGTATATTATAAAGACTCAGTATATTCACTTTCAACTTTTTCTTAGTTTTCCTTCTGACTCAACAGTACTTCTGAAAGAGTTTAGGATGTTCTTTTTAATAGGGCAATAAACACTCTAAAATAATATCACTGGTTTAAAAGACAAGATCCTCAAACACAATTTTTCTTCTTTTTAGCTTTTATGCTCCCTTATAACAACATATTATAAAATATTCTTATTAATTAATTAAAAGGGCAGTTTTGAACCCCAGGCTAAATTGTCTTCAAAGGTAACTTTATCAGTAAGTAAAATGTTCATCTTTGTGGTGGACGATGCAGTCTCTTTTGCAACTATTCAACTTTGCCATTATATTATAAAAGGAGTCATAGACAATATGAAAATGAATAATATAGCTGTCTTATTAAGACTATAAAAACAGGCTAGATTTGGCTGTGGGCTATAGTTCAAAAATTTTTGACTTTGTTATATTGGCTCTTGTTTTGTGATATCATTTATCATAATAGGGAAATAGCATGTGATTCTGAGTTTGCTAGAAGTCCCATAAACCATTTAAACTAAAAAAAAAAAAAAAAAAAAAAAAAAAAAAATTCCTTACCTCGGTTTCTACTGGTTGTCCTGGTAGTAATTATAATAACATGTGATAAGCATTTGTTATATGCCAGGCACTAAGTTAACCACTTTATACTATAATTTATTTTCTCAGCATAGCCCTATAAGACAGCTATTGTGATAATTATCTAATTTTTTAGGAACAGAAACCAAGGCCTAAAGAGGTAAAGTAACTCATTCAAGATCATGAAATTAGGACAAGGTATAATCTGGTCTGAGAGTTGTATCCTCCATCCCTAGGATAATTTTGGAATGTAGCTGGTATTCAATATTCTTTGCCTAACCTTTCCTTATTTTCCAATGTTTTACTTATTTGGGGATGTTGATCTGAATGTTAAAAGTTCATTGTACAGCATTAAGTTTTTTGAAGAGAAGCATTATATTAATTCAGTGGATAAGTAAGTGGATGAATGTGGGTTTTAGCTCTAATTCTTTAATTAGTTTTTCAAAATTAGCTTGTTTTTATCTCTAAGTTTTTCAGTGTATTCTAAAAGAGAAGTTTGCCTCAACGTGAGGCTTTGCTGCTTCACTCTCTGCTGGAAGATTTGTTTCTCTTCATCAGATAATTTGGACATTTTATTTTGTTCTTTTTTCTTTGGTATCCTGATTAAAGGATTAGAAAGCCCTTTTCTAGGTTTGAGTCACTAATACCACCCTGTGCAGAGCCTTTAGCTTCAGGGACATTGATTTGCATTTGTTGAATGCATAATGACTTAGCAGCAGAACTGCCTTTTTCCCTGTTAACTATGTTAACTGTTCTTACATTGCCCATGTCTGCCATCTCTAGGTGCAGTTCTCAGAGTGAACAAAGATATCAGAAGTAGGTGTGGACAGGAGATATGACCAGGGTGGTGCTGAGAACATTGAAAACATAAGCTTGAGGCTTCAGAATGGAGATAACTGGTTTAGCTATCATATTGCCCTTCTGTGGCCCCTTTATATTTACTTCTCACTCCTAACTGAACATTTTATTTAGGCTTGGTATGTGCCAGATACAGCTAGGAATCCAAAAATAATGGCTTTTTTTTTTTTTCTCGGAGCTGAAGGTCACATGTTCCCTGCTAAGTGGTCTCTCTAGATAGAAATGCTTTAGTGGAGGTCTTCTGGAGACTGTACTTTGGGGCATGGAGGGAGGCAGAAATGACTGCCTGGTATACTGAAGTGTTCAGTCATGAAGAGAATCATTTTTTGAACTGGGAACAGAATTTACCAGTTAGAGTAGGTTAGTTGGCCAACATCTCTGGGAAAGAAGACTACCACAGCAAGAGGGAGGATGAAGTATTTGGGGAATGATATGCATTTTGTTGATTGTAAGAGGGTGAGACAAGGGGATGAGCTGGGTAAAATCAGGGCCAGATTGTGCAATGCACATAGTGACAAGGCAGATATTAAAAGCCTTTTCTAGGGTACACTTGTACATTGCTGGTGGGACTGCAAATTGGTGCGGCCAATTTGGAAAGCAGTATGGAGATTCCTGGGAAAGCTGGGAATGGAACCACCATTTGACCCAGCTATTGCCTTTCCCGGACTATTCCCTGAAGACCTTAAAAGAGCGTACTATAGGGATACTGCTACATCGATGTTCATAGCAGCACAATTCACAATAGCTAGACTGTGGAACCAACTTAGATGCCCTTCAATAGATGAATGGATTTAAAAAATGTGGCATTTATACACAATGGAGTATTACTCAGCACTAAAAAATGACAAAATCATGGAATTTGCAGGGAAATGGATGGCATTAGAGCAGATTATGTTAAGTGAAGCTAGCCAATCCCTAAAAAACAAATGCCAAATGTCTTCTTTGATATAAGGAGAGCAACTAAAAACAGAGCAGGGAGGAAGAGCATGAGAAAAAGATTAACATTAAACAGGGATGAGAGGTGGGAGGGAAAGGAAGAGAGAAGGGAAATTGCATGGAAATGGAAGGAGACCTTCATTGTTATACAAAATTACATATAAGAGGATGTGAGGGGAAAGGGAAAAAAAAAACAAGGGAGAGAAATGAATTACAGTAGATGGGGTAGAGAGAGAAGATGGGAGGGGAGGGGAGGGGGGATAGTAGAGGATAGGAAAGATAGCAGAATACAACAGTCACTAGTATGGCAATATGTAAAAACGTGGATGTGTAACCGATGTGATTCTGCAATCTGTATACAGGGTAAAAATGGGAGTTCATAACCCACTTGAATCAAATGTATGAAATATGATATGTCAAGAGCTTTGTAATGTTTTGAACAACCAATAAAAAAAGGAAGCCTTTTCTTAGGGTGTAATGTGATCAGTTTTATAAAAATAATTCTGGTGATGGGATAAAGGGAAAAATTAATGGAGAATTCCAGTGACTAATGGGTTGTGTATTCTTCTGCCTTCTAGCTTTTTCCTGCGCTTCTGGAGAGTATCTAGAGATGAAGAACCAGGTATGCAGTAAGTGTGCTGAAGGCACCTACTCCTTGGGCAGTGGCATCAAATTTGATGAATGGGATGAATTGCCAGCAGGATTTTCCAACGTTGCAACATTCATGGACACTGTGGTGGGCCCTTCTGACAACAGGCCAGACGGCTGTAACAAGTAAGAATCCAAAGGAGCCTTTGGATCTTGACTGAGTACTTGAGTACTTCCAGAGAGAAGTTAAGGATAATCTTACCATAGATGGGGGTTACAGATAAGCTAATTGCAAAGAGTCATATTTTTTGGATAGTCATTACAAATAATGTAGCTAATTTTTCATGAAGCTTTAAGATAATTATCCTCAGGATATAATAGATATTGTATACAAAAATGCAATAAAGTTTATTAGGAAAAAAATAATTTTCTCATAGTATATTTATAACCAAACTTAAGTCAGTGATGTTTCTACTATCCTTTTTCTAATTTTTAGTGGGTAAATTCAAATTGTTTTTTTTTTTCTTTCAAAAGGAAGAATTTATAACCTTCATTTAGACTTCATCATTTCCTGCAAGAGCAAGTGGCTTAAATAACTAATGTGGCCTTTGTGTAGTTCCTAGGAGATTATAGCTTTGCCTATGGCAGTGTTGGAGGCATGTTAAATTGTTTCAGGAAAAAAAAATAAAGCAAAATAATTCTCTTTGGGCTTTGCCCTTCCTGTCCTCTTGTATTGATTATGTAACTATGTGGCCATGTTTTGAAAATGAAACTTCCAGCCCCTGGCTAACTTCTGATAAGAGGGGTTTCTCAGGACCCTTGAAGTTTTACTTTTTAGTCTGTTGGCAGTGATCTAAGGATGCTGGACAATTACTTAGCTGTTCTAGACGATGTGTTTTCTCCTTTCCTTCCCTTCCTCTTTCTCTTCTTCTTACCTTCACTCTTCTTTTCAGCTCACTGTGCCAAACAACATTGATTTATCATACTCCGCTGATCATAATATTATTATTCTTTATGTTTAATTGTTAGTCTTTTTTTTTCCTGTAACACTGGAAACTAAGTAGTTTATAAAGAAAATAGGTTTATTTAGCTCATAGTTCCAGAAGTCTAAGAGCATGGTGCTGGCATCTGCTTGGCATCTGAGGAGGGCTTCATACAACTTCAACTCAAGGCAGAAAATGAAAATGCATGTTGTCATATGCAAAGGAAGAAAAAGGGGCCAACCTCCTGAAATAGTGAGAAAAACATGAATTCATTCATGAGAGCTCAGATCCCATGACCCAACACTTATTCGTGGCTCCGCTACTTTTTTTAAAAATTGATTTTATTATTATTTTTTAAATTCATGACAACAGTGGAATGCATTACAATCCTTATTACACATATAGAGCACAATTTAAGTTGGCTATTAATTTCAGTCTGGATCTGGCAGGGACAAACCACCTTCAAAACCTCAGCAATGTGTGTGCACACACTGTGTTTTAAATAAAATATTTCCTTAGAGAAGAGTACTAGTAGGATGTTACAAAACCTCAGATCTTTGTTTTGGAGATCAGAGGATATGGACACGGCTTCCTCATGTGCCCTATGGAATAGTTTATTCATCAAAAAAATTCAATGATAAGTAGAGGTTTTTCAAAGTAGTGTCTTTTGGTATAATTTTCTCAATGTAAATCTCAGTTTGATGTTGCTATGCTTTTCTTCCTTCTCTGCTCCCTTCCTTTTTCCCACCCACGTGATCTTATGTTCTGTTTACTTTTTCTTTGGTTTGGTCATATAGGAGATTTAATTATAAAGCCAAAAGAGTTCTTTGTGTATTATGGACATGAGTTCTTGTACATGTATATTTGTATAATATTTACTGTATATTAAGACAGATACATATATGTGTGTTTGTGATACTGCTTTCAAGTCTGTGGCTTTTGCTTTTTTATTTTCTTAATGATATTCTTTGATAACATGAAGGTTAAATTTGAAAAAATAATAGTTTATCAATTTTATCTCTTACAGGTAGTTTTGTTATATCTTATGATATCTTTGCTAACACTGGGTTGTGAAGGCTAGAAATTGCAATATGTGTTCTTATCATAGTGTAGGTAGTTTTTATACTTTTATAAGAATGTAGTTACACCTATACTCTCATTTTTGTGCTATTGTCATGTATTTAGAAACATAATCTCTGAAATACAATGATTGTTTTAAATAATCATTTGTCAATGACACAACCTCAAAAAGATTTAGGAACTCAAATGCCAACTCAGTTATTGATGAGTTTTCTTTCTTATGGTGCATGACTTTCTAAATGACTTAAAATATGAAAAAAATACACATTGTGTGTTAATCTAAATATGTACAATCATTGGTACTCTTTCTTCCTTTCCATAGATTTGCCGTGTGTGTGTATGTGTTTATAAATAAAATTTAAGATGTTGTTTGAAAGAATAATTCCACTTAAGGCTACTGGGTTAGTGTTTATCTTGTTGGTGATCAATTTTTTTTTGGTGAAAAAATAGCAGCTTCATAGCAAATTGCTCAGATAACCTTCAATTATTTAGGAAGTTATGTACTATCAAAAAATGAACCTCCCCTCAGTAATGGAGTTGGCCTTAGAGCGGCTGAAAAAGCTCGGGGTGTTTTCTGCTGTGCTTTGCTGATGGAACTACTTTTGAATCTGGGGTATAGCTTTGTGACCTGAAGTGGTTTCTGAAAACTAACAGAAAATGCATCTTGGCTTTGTTTCCACAGCTCTTCTTGGATCCCTCGTGGAAACTACATAGAGTCTAATCGTGATGACTGTACGGTGTCTCTAATCTATGCTGTGCACCTTAAGAAGTCAGGCTATGTCTTCTTTGAGTACCAGTATGTCGACAACAACATCTTCTTTGAATTCTTCGTAAGGCCTTTTATATTCTAGACTCCACTTTTTGAAAGGCATTCCTGTAAATTTCCCTTAATCTTTGTTGCACTCCACTTTATATGCCTTCTCCTTTTTTTGTGTGTAAGTGACCCTGTAAGTATTAAAGGAAAAGTTAATTTTTTTTCTATAGCATTTGAGTTTATAGTTAATATTGTTTCTTTATTTTTGCACTCTCACCTTATAGTGTAATATTGGCTTGTTTTGCTTCTGGTTGTACTCATTAGACAACTGATTTAGACTGTGTGTGACAAATATTTTCCCCAAGATTCATTTTAACTTAATTTTTTTATGACTGAAAATGCTATTTTGTTAAAAATATATTTTGCCAATTTTAGTTTTAAATTAATTTTCTCTTTGTAGTTTCAAATATATATACATATATATATATATATATATATATATATATATATATATATATACATACATATACATACACATACACATACATATATATTCTTTTTTTACTGATTAGAATTACTTAAATGTTTTCATAGGCAATTGTTTAAAAAAGAGAAATTAACATATTTTCTGATTCTGTGAATTTTTACAGTCCAAAGAAATTTATGAATGCGATAGTTGGTGCATCTGATCTTAAATAGGATTATAGAATATAGAATACTATGATAGACTAACAGAATAATGACTGGAGTTATGTAACTATTTTATGTAAACTGTACTTAATCTAGCAAATATTTATTGTGGCATGGACTCAAAACACTTGAGAAAATGTTTTCTGATTGACTTCTTATACAAATAATGTGTGTTATAGTAGTAAATGGGAGAATATCTTGGAAAATGTTCCCATGCGCCAGATTTAAGGAACAAATGTACTAACAGTTCTGACACAAATGTGTATTGTCGTTGGTAATGGGTATTTTACATCAAAAGTTTGGTGGCAATAGATATTTTCCAGGAAACTATGAGCCTTAGATTTGAAGTCAAGAGATTCTGACTCTATCCTGCCTCTATAATTGTTAACTGTGTGTTCTTGAGCAATGAAATTAACTTTCCGGTCCTTGGCATTCCCTTGTGTGAGAGGACACTTGAAGGAGCCTCCCAGCACTAATATCCTTTGATGAGCTTAAAATGTTAAGCAGTGTTCAAACAGATTTACCTTTTAAGCTACATTTTGTTTGCAAAACTCTTCTCCGGGTAAATGATTTTCTATTGGGACATTTCAACAGTATTGCTAAGACTAAAATAATGTTGAAAGGCAAGACAGTTATCTAATTGTTAGAATAAACGTGTATTTTTGTAGTTTTGTATACTCAATAAATCCCTTGAGAGCTGTCAATAAGGGTACTCTTAGGGCATAATGTTTCATTACTTCCATTTCAATGGTGCCTCTGTTCTTCTGGTTTTAGTCTGAAAGGGGATGGGAAATTCATGCTCCTTTTATTGATGCTTCAGCTTTATAGGTTGCAATTTATTGACTCAGAGGGTTAATACCTCACAGTCATAATGCTCCTGGTTAATAGAAAAGAAGCATTTGAAGGCTGAAAGATATAGTTGTGCTCTGACAATTATACATGTGAGCATCATGTAATTTGAAGCATTCATCCCAACCAATTTTTAAAATGCTGAAACTGAAACCTAGAGAGAGTAAGTGATTGCACCAAGATTACACCTTTACTAGCTTCAGAAAGAGTAATGGAGCTCAGGTCATCTGAGTGGTGGTGGAACGTCACGGTAACACATGATGTCTGCCTTCAGCTATAAAAAGCTCTCAGCTTGTCTATATACTGCCCAACAGAGGAACATTCAGGACCCATGTCCTCTCCCGAATGAAAGAAATATGAAAACAGTCAGTATGCTTATGATATAAATAAGACAAGAATTCAATTAAAGTAAATTTCCTTGGTAGCAGATATTCTCTGGTATTTAGATAGTAAAGGGATCCTTTTTCTCATAAGTAAGCCTTTAGAAAATATAACTTCTAGAGAAATTTTAATGTTTGTAAATTAGTCAGGAGGATGACCAAAGTAGCAAAACAATTTAGAGAGAGAGAGCCTTTTCTTTCTGCAGAAGTACAGATAATGAGATCTTATTTTTACTTGGCTCTGTTACTGAGTACTTTGCAATACTGAAATGTTGACCTAACTTTTGGATACCTTTGTTTTCTTCATAGACCTGAAAGAGTATTGTCCTAACTCTTAAGCATTTTGCAAGAACTGAGTGGAAAGGTCAAGGTTTTTGGTGTTAAAGATTATCTGTAGTCATTTGAATTGGAATGGCAAATAATTAACATTTACACTGTGTTATATTTTTTGTTGCCCGTGACCAAAATACCTGAAAGAACAACTTAGAATAGAAAATGTTTATTTAGGCTGATGGTTTCAAGGGTCTCAGTGGAGTGGTCCCTGACTCCATTGTTGTAGCCCCGAGATGAGGCTGAACATCATGGCTGAAGGCCATGGTAGAGAAATGCTGCTCAGCTCATGGTGAGCAGGACACAGCAAGAGCAAGGGAGGCTCTAGCAAGGAAATATAAACCCCAAAGTCACACCCCCCAAATACACCCTTGTTCCTTTGGCCACACACTATCTGTCTACAGTCCTCACCCAGATAACAGTCCCTTCAAAATATAAACAAATGAAATGGATTAATCTGTTGATTAGGTTACAGCTCTCATAAACTAATCATCTCACCACCTGCATTAATAGGGCTTCAGGGGGATCATATCCAAGCCATAACACCCCCAAATAACAATTTGGAACTTTCATTTTGGCTGTGGCCACTTAATCTGTGCATTGAGTCCTGGGGAAATGAAAACAAAGCAGTCTTTACTTACTAACTTAAAATTTCACTTTCAGGAATCCACATATCATCTTGTTTACTTTTGTATACTTGGACTTGCCTGGTAAATGCAGTTGCTAAAACATTTTGATAAGCTGGGTACATTTTTTTGTAATGATTTTCAATGATAATTGTTTCCCCTCTCTCTCTCCTCATGGGCTAGTCTTTTTGTCTCAATGAGACAGTTTACTTAGAACTGCTCACCCATATGTGCAGCTATCACTTTGTCTCCAGAGGTCTCTGGTGTGTTTAGTTGTTGAGAATTACTGGTGGCCACCATTATTTAGTATGTATAGAAAGACATTCTTGCAGCCTGTGCTGGAATTTAGTGAAAGCCATTATTCCAGAATCTTTACTGAGACCCTGTGTTTAATCCACAGATTCAAAATGATCAGTGCCAGGAGATGGATACCACCACAGACAAGTGGGTAAAACTCACTGACAATGGAGAATGGGGCTCTCATTCTGTAAGTCTCTTTGTTTTTCCTTCTTCTTTTCTACTAATCCCATTCTCCTCCTTCCTTTTCCCTGCCTTTTCTAAGCATTCATTTTAAGAAAAGAAAAAGAATTTTTTTAAAATTAATTAAGATAATTTCCATTTAGGGAAGAAATTGCTCCAAAGTTTCTTCAACTCATATTTTTTATTTTTTAGGTTATATTTTCCTACATTTTATTTTCTCCTTGTATTTCTTTCTTTTTCTGTTCCCATGATATTTCAACTTTCTTCCCTTTTCAAGAAGGAAGTCTATTCAAAACCAATATACAAAATTGACAAAATCTAAGTATGTAAATTTTGAAATGTGCCTGTTTCATGCAATACAGTCATCGTCACTTGTCATTGGAAAGATCTTTGAATTCCTTTCATCCTACCTTCTCTTCGGTGTCCCCAGCAAGTGATTTTCAAGCTTGTTTTGTTGGACACTGTGCTTTCTCCATTGTTGGACATCTCTCTGATTTTCACAAAATTCATCCACATTGGGCTTCAACCTGCTTCATATGTATTTGCCTCCAGTGGTCAAATTCTACTCTTTTCAGTTACATTAAGTATAGTAACTACCTATTTCTTCACAGGGCATCTCTTTAAATACTTGAAGGCAGGATTACCAGATATGTGATTTGGTGAATCAGTTATTACTTGAGGTACTTTCCCTTTGGAGTATGGCACTATTTAAAATCTATCTCTGGCTTATAGTTGTATTTCTTTGAGTGATTTGCTTAATCTCTTAGCATCTGAATTTTTTTTCCATTTCAGAAATGGGAGAAATGTTGCTGAATTAAATGGGGTGATGTCTGGGAAGGGACTCACATAGTGCCTGTAATGTAGACTGAGTTATGTTTCAATGAATCCATTCTTGCCTTTTTGATTGTGGCAGTTGCCAAATCCTTGAATAATTAACACAGTGTACCCTTGCAGAGGTTTTCTTTTTATATGTATGTTTGAAAGTAATGTTGGTACCACTTAATATTCACTCATCTAAACACCCAGTCAGCTGGGCTTTGAAAATACAAATAGCCCTTGGCAACAGATATGCTTTCTTCACTTTTGAGTACACGTGGAAAACTGAATGCACTTAACTTCTCTAGCTCTCAGGCCTGATGAAGTAGTTGGGTTGATTAATTTTACATAACTTGAATTTGACCAGCCAAAGGGTGCATACAAAAATAAAAGTAGCAAAAGACAAAACAATAAGCCCTTAAAATTGGCTCACTTGCCTGTATCAGCATGAAACTTAACAGAAGATTAGTTTAATTTATAATTAGAAAAATGTTCCAGTGGCAAAGGGATCAAATACTAGACACTAGGGATCAAATACTAGACATAGTGTCACCGAGGTTCAGTTAATTGTAAGAGTTAAGTTATTCTATAAGAACAGTCCTATTTTATTGCTATTGCAGTATTGTTTTAAAGTAATTTAAAAAGCAAGCTGTATTAACCTATTTCTATTGCTATAACAATATGCCCAAGGTTGAGTACTTTATAAGGAAAAAAAGGTTTGTTTAGACTACAGTTTTAGAGGTTCAGGGGCATGGCGGCAACATCTACTTGGCTCTTATGGGGTATAATGATCACAGGATAGAGATTTATAGGAAGCCAGAGATTCCAGGGGAGATCCAGGATTGCCCTTTTATAGCATCTTGGTCTTGGAGGAACTAACTTGCTCTATGAAACAAGCAGTAATCTCTGTCCATGACAGTGCTCCCAATGGTATAATTGCCTCCCACTTGCCCCACCTCTTAAAAGTTTCACTACCTCTTGATACCACCAAACTTCCAATGCATGAACCTTTAGGGGACACACTCAAGCCACATTCAGGTCCTATACAAACCATAGCAGAAGCAAGCTTATTCTCTTGCTTGTTTGTTTTCTGAGCTTAAAGAAGTACTTGTGAATGGCAGTCTATAAATATGCAAGTGGGCTGAGTGACTTTCACCCTTTACAATGAATCCTCTTTAAATATAAATATAAGACTTCATGTAATGGTGCGAAAATCATTTTGTGTTTTTGCTCAGACTTGAAGGGTTCTTCTCCTTGTTTCTTAGTATATTTTGTGGATTGGAAGACTATTTTATTTTTTAAAGAAAATGTTGTCTTCAGAGCTAAGGTCAGAATTAACTGGAGGCTTAAATTTGTTGGTTTTAAATTAATGGTGTTTCCTTATAATGCATAGAAAAGTATGTGAGTGAGAAGCTTTTGTGTGTGATTGGAATTGGAAACAGCTTGGCTTATCTGACCTGAGTGTGTTGTTTCTTTGCACAGGTAATGCTGAAATCAGGCACAAACATACTGTACTGGAGAACAACAGGCATCCTTATGGGCTCTAAGGCTGTCAAGCCTGTCTTGGTGAAAAATATCACAATTGAAGGTATTTCACAGCATTCTGTTTTAGCAGTCATTTATCCAGTTTTATAGTTAAAATATTTATTTTAACTAGTACTGGCTGGCTCAAGGTGCATAGCATGAGAACTATATTAGGTATCATACAGGTCTAGAGACCCTGGTTTTACTACTAGAAAACTCATTGATTCATAGTTTACTTTTTCCTGACACCTTTGAACTGAATTATTTAATCTGTGTAAAGACGTAAACATGATGATGATTTTACGTATCTGTAAATGAAGTTTCTCTTTTAATGTGAGACTATATTCATTCAATATCTACTATGCCAGACTTTGAGCTTACTTGGAGAGTTAATAATCTGGTCACTGCTATATCCATAAAAATAATAATCTTGAAAACATCTCCACCAGACTGTTTCATTAAGCCTCTTGGGCCTCTCAGGACCAGCTGGGTCATTTCTGGCCCAGGTGCACATCTAATAAACCCTGCTATAGTTTATGCTCAACTAGGGGTGCTTTTAATTAAAGTAGTGATTCTTCTTTATTAAAGTTTGGCTTATGTTTTACTGTGTTCTAATTGTGCTTGTTCCGGTGATGTTAACTAATTAGTCACACGGACATCTGCTGGCCAACACTGGAATTACAAACTGGAAGACCAGCCATTTCTCGGATCTTATAGGTTTTATCTGTTACTTAATAAGTAGTGAAGAAAAAGGGAACAGGTCCCACAAAGAGCAGAGAATTGTAGGGGACCTTAGAGTTTATCCCATTCTGACATAGTAGATTTGTATTTGATGAATCATTTAATATGTTTACTTCTATAAAAATTCTTAAGTGTTTGCTGTACTAATTGTGTTTGATTCAGTAGATATCCCAGCTCTTTGCTTTCTTAGTGCTGAATTAATGAAATAAAAGGATTGGGCTGATCTTACTATTGATATTTCCCTCTCATTTCTGTGTAGAGTCAGTATACAGGCACTGACTGACTTGCTGATGTGGGTCTTCCTTCCATGCCCTGTTTTTCATTTCCACACAGGTGTGGCTTACACTTCAGAATGTTTTCCATGTAAGCCAGGGACATTCAGCAACAGGCCAGGTTCATTCAACTGCCAGGTGTGTCCCAGAAACACCTATTCTGAGAAAGGGGCCAAAGAATGCATAAGGTGTAAAGAGGATGCCCAGTTTTCAGGTAGGGCTGACTTATACTCTCTTTTCTTTATAAATTTATTTTGATCAAGTATACTGATCAAATATACTGTTACAAGCTAGCATTGGTGGGTCAGATGTCAGCATGCTAAAGAGAATCAATATTGAATGGAGAAAAACATATCTGTCATTTCATCTCTTTCCATGTGGGGTCTCCCCCTTTGTCTATGTTTTTCTTTTATTTCATACTCCATAGGTAAGAGCTATAGCTATGTTTATATCAATCTAACCCATGTTTTACTTTTAGGTGATTTGTGGGCATAGATATATACTGAGAAACTTTTAATTTTATTCATATTTCCAGTATTCAGTGATAATGAACAAAATATAGTGTCTCCTGAGAGCACTATGATATGCTCCATGTATATCATGTAGGCCTTTATTTTCTGTAGGTCTAGCTAATTCTACCTAAATTGCTTTGGTAAGATTACTTTTTTATTTAACTTTTTTGTTGTTGTTGTTCTGATTTTTGCCTTTTCTTAGAGTCACAATGGACCATTTATGAATTTTGTTTTTTTGTATGTGTGCATGCGTTGCAGAGGAAGGATCCAGTGAGTGCACGGAGCGCCCACCCTGTACCACAAAAGACTATTTCCAGATCCATACTCCATGTGATGAAGATGGAAAGGTATCAGCAGTGTTCAGAAAAATCCATCCCATATTTATCCAACTCTTTCCCCAATTTGGACACACTCCAATTTGTTCATGAGGGAGATTTCATAGAGGATTTCTGAGTTTAGGTGTTGGAGCCTGCCTTCCTGGCTTTCATTTCCAAATCTGTTACTTATTAGTTCTGTGGGTAAATGATTGGGTGCCTCTAAATCTTAGTTTTTTTCATCTGTAAAATGCGGTTGATATCAATACTGTGAGACTGCTATGAGAATACATGAGATATTCAGTATAAAGTTCCCAACTCAGTTCCTGGCATTTAGTGAGCCATGAATTAGTCCTATTTTTATTTTTTGGTACTAGGGATTGAACACAGGGGTGCTTTACCACTGGGCTACATCTCCAGTCCATTTTGATTTTTGAGTTTTTTAAAATTTTGAGACAGGGTCTCACTAAGTTGCTTAGGACCTCACTAAGTTGCTGAGGCTGGCCTCAAACTTAAGATCCTTCTGCCTCATCCTTCCCAGTCGCTGGGATTATAGACATGCGCAACCACGCCCAGCTGATGACTGCTATTTTTAACAGTTATATTTTTTTTTCATAAGTAAAGCCAGGAAGAAATCAGCTTTCAAATGTGTACTACAACTCACTAGATGAAAATAACTTATAACTTCTATTTAATTATTTGGCTAATCAGCGGTTGTATTAATAAAAGCTACCTAGATGACTCACAATTCTCATAATTAAATAATTAACGTATACAATCCCACGTCAGAAGAGAAACTGAGATTAAAGTGGCTGCTAGGTAATGTTTCTTACATATTTGTACCTTTGAAATAATGACATGTTTTAAACTTACTTTGGAAAACACACATAATTGTCAGAAGAATTATTCCTTTTCCCCCCCTTAATTTTGCATTCCCAAGTTCTAATCTGTACTTTTTATATTTACACTGATTATCTTACCCTTATATCTTTATTTTTTAAAAGGACTCTTGTTTTGAATGCTTAAGACCAAATACATTCCAGTTTAGATTAGTGGAAACTTAAAATGGTAAGAAGTACAAATATCACTTTCAATTAGAACAATGACTCAAACTAACAGCTGTTAATTGACAAGGAGTTGGAAAATAAGGTCTTGGTGGCCCTACACCAATGGCCGAGTAAGAGTACTTACTACTAGTGGATTGAAGAGTGATTTGGTACAGTATTTTTAGATGAACTTTTATTAGCTAAACTTAACAATAAGCCAGGCAAAGGTAGTTTATTCTATGTAATCATTAATTCTGCATTACGGGGACTTAAATACATTCTAATATGCAAAACGATTTATCTGAGCTAACACAAAAAATATACAAAAGTCATATTTCCTATTTTAATAATGAGTATAGTGTCCATGATCAGCGTGACAAAATCTAGTTGCTGTGGGCCTAACAGAAGTGAGAGCATATGTGAATGTATTGTATGTAGAGTGCACTTGCACACACACTTGCCACTATGTGCCCATGCATGTGGATTGTGTTTTTCCATTGAGTCTGGAGGAGCTCTAAACATGTTCTTTGTAGATTTTTATAGAACAAAATAGTTTACTAGAACTCTATAAATTCAGTGTTTTATTTCATTTTGTTTTTAGAGAGACTTTAGACTTATTTTAAGATAAATGTTTCTGGCTTCAGAAGTAGACAGGAAAGCAGTGGCTATAGTGCTAATATACAGATACACACACACACACACACACACACACACTTAGATTATGGAAGTGAATTCAGGATTTTTTTCTATTTTTTTTTGTTCTAGCACTTTCATTTGTTCCAGTTTCATATTTTTAAAAGGTATCTGACTTTGCTGAGACCAGCCTAATGATTTGCCAGTAGTTTAAAGATGCTTCACAGGTTGTTCAACAACTATGTTTGGTTTTCTTTGTCCTGTGATCTCTGTGTCTCTTTGACCTCTCTTTCCCCTTTCTTGGAGAAGATCATCAAATTGATTAAATAGGAAAGCAGCTGTTGAGGTATATATATTCTGAATTTAGAATTTATAGGATATACATTTATGAATTTATTTTTAATCTTATTTCAAAATAAATTGCTTTCTGCCTATAGAGGAAATTTTTTTTCAGGAAAATGCTAATAGGTAATTGGGGTTATTCTAATCTTGATGCTCTCATTAACATCCTAAACATGTGGAATACCTACTCATTTATTTATTTAGTGAATCTATACTGAGCACTGGTTACACACAGAGTACTGGGTAATAAGGGCGGAGCTTAGGATAGAGAAAAATGTAAACATCTTCATAGATGTGGAGCTCTGTAACTTCAGTGTGCATCAGACTCACCTGGAGGGCTAAAATGCTTTTTTTGTGTTGCAAAAAGAGTAATTCTTTCAAGCACATAGAAAGCATATACTCTTAAATATCATGAGAAGGTCTGACAAGATTTCCTGTCTATACTTGGAATTCCTACAGAATTTTGTGCATGCCTCTCTTGATACTGGGTAATCATTGGTTTGATAGCATTTTGAAATCAGATCACTATATTGCAAATTGACCATTTTCTCCACTGATCTCTCAGCTTCCTATAGATAGAGAATGGTTCTTACTCATTTTAAAAAAACATCTCTAAACTATATAATAATAGCTGGCACATAGGAGGTAGTGATACATGTTAAACAAATGAACGCGAGACTTAGTAAATAAATGTTGATTATGTTGATTACCACTTGTGTATTATATTCTGTCCTTTGGATAAAGCTTGAGAAAATTTTGACAAAATGGGCAAAATGTAGTAGAGAGAGGCCCGTATATTTTATATAAAATATGATTGAAGAAGCTGGGGCTATTTCTTTTAGTTGGGGAAAGACAGTGGGATGGAAGAATCATGTTCATCTTTGTGACATTTCTTACATGTCTTGCAGAGATTTGGTCTTTCTCAGGGGATACCCATGACATTTGTATTCCTCTTGGAAATGATGACGATGAGAATAATTATAGTAATAGTAATGATAGCATTACTACCAAAAGACACTATCACTATCATGTACATGTTTATGCATGTACTCTCTTCATATCTGTGTGTCCACACAAACATTTCCTCTAGTTGTTTATTTCAAGAGTTGTGCACTTTAAACATATTATACCCAGTTTGTTGATGAGGAAACTGCACACTGAGGTGAAGTTACTTCCCTAATGTAACAGCTAGAAAGTCTTAAGGCTGGAACTCTCACCCAGATTGTTTTCAAGTCCAGTGCTTTGTATCCCTATTTTAGATATTATAACAGTTTGTGAACCTTTCTCATCACTGTTAGTCTATAATCTCTTTTGGAGCAAACAACTTGTCTTATTAATATTTAAATCTCTCACTGTGCTTTGTTCTAATCTAGGTACAGAAAAATTTCCTAAATAGTTATTTTAAGCACGTAAGGGAAATATTAGAAAGAAGAAATATACTTTTTCATGTTATTTCATGAGTCAAATTTTGGGCTAATCAGGTGATCTTACAGAAGGTAAGCTCCAGCCAGAGGTAATAGTGTTCAAAGAGGCATAGTTTCCCACTCCTAAAATGACATGTCTTGTCAAATAGGGAACTTTTTATAAGGGTAGAAAAGCTCTTGGTAGGGAAGGATGGTTTAGAAGGAAGCCTTCTTAGAGGAGGTGTTTTAGTCAGCTTTTTTACTATTCTGACTAAGGGACCTGGTTAGAATAACTATGGATGAGGGAAAGTTTATCTGGGGGCTCACAGTTTCAGAGGTCTCAGTCCAAAAATGGCTAGCTCTATTCCTTGGGGCTCAAGGTGAGCAGGACATCATGGTGGAAGAGTGTGGTGGAGGGAAGCAGCTCACATGATGTTCAGAAAGCAGAGAGAGAGACTCCACTTGTCAGATTACAAAAAAATATATATACCCCAAGACCATGCCCCCAATACCCATCTCCACCAGCCATACCCTACCCACCTTCAGTTATCACTCAGTTAATCCCCATCAAGGGATTAATTCACTGATTGGGTTAAGGCTTTTATAAACTAATAATTTCTTCTCTAAATCTTCATGCATTGTCTCACACATGAGCTTTTGGAGGACACCTTACATACAAACTATGTAGACATCAGTGTACATGCACAACTGCTTTACCTTTGAGTTCAGGAAGTTTGTGGATCATAAGTTGCTAGTATTTTTGAATCAATTTGCCTTGCACTTTCTTTCCTTTTTTGTGATATCAAAGATAGCACAAATTACTGCAAATGCCCAATATCTGTAACATAGTACTTCTGAATGATCCTGTAGAGATAAGTGTAGGAGATATTTAAAAAATAGGGTATAAAAGATTATGAGTATTTGATCTGACTTTGTTCACATAGGATTTAAGCAAGTTAAATATACCTGGAGCCTATGATGCTTGATTAGGATGGTGGGGAAGCAATATGGTACTTCTCAGCAACAATGGGTGTCTGAACTTGTTTAAAATAAAACTTTTAGTCTTTAAAAAAATACAGACATTTTAAAGAACAGCTTATTGAAAGAGAATTCTCACATAATGTATTTTGTCATTGGGCTGCAGTGCCTTGCCAGGGTAATTTTTCCTGCACAGGAGGGGATAAGCCTCCTGAGAAAACAGTCTGAAATAATTAGTGAAGAAATAAAAGACAGAGTCAAAGAATAGGTTTAAGGCAGAGTGCTTGATAGGTCTAGCCCACACAGGAGCTGGAGCTACCAATTGAAAAATGGCTTGGGTGGTTTACTTAAGGGGGTATATCAAAGGCAGGGATAAGGTTTCAGGGGTGGAATCTTGTTTCAGGATGTCTTGCAGTCAACAGATTGATTGGCATGTTGGCAGGTTATACCCATCTCTGAGAGCTTGTGTGGCTACAGTAGGTCACCCCATCTCTGGTGCTATGTGGGACCCGGCAGAGATGAATAGGACTCACATGTATCTGGGCAATCTTACCAGCATAATTGCCACTGGAAGTTCCCAAATACCAGATTTTCTTATTCAATGGGCGTCCATGCATATTTGGTCCACACATAATCCATGTAGGGCTCTTGACAGTATTTCAACCACTTAAAGTATGCAATATGGTGTTTTTAGTATATTTATCATGATCTAATTTAAAACATTTTCTTGCCTAAAGTTCTGATGAGAACCTCCAGTTAAATCCCTGTGTTGTCACCCACATCAAGGAAGATGACCACCAAGGTTGTCAAGAGCTTAGAAAGGGAAGAAGGAGATAACCATATGGGAAAACAGAAAAGCAGCAAAGCTTTGTAGGAAAGGAATTCAGATAGAGGCTTCCGAGTAGCAAGGTAGGCTGAGGACCTACTTCAAGCAGGCGTGGATATTGAACATGATTTTGAAGGAGGAGTCAAATACAACCTGGCAGCATCTTGTGGGTCATTCAGGAGAGACAAATGATGAATGCCTTTAGCAACTGGAAATATCAAGGTTTGAAAGAGGCAGGGAGGCCAGCATTAACTTGCTTGGCTGAGACCACCTGTGCCAGGATAACCTGGAGCAACAGGCAGCTAGCTTAGTGGCCATGGGTAGACCCCTTTTAAAGCACATGTAATTCAGCTCTGATAAATTCATCCAATCTATAAAGGATTAGTACACCTATACAGCAACATTTGAAAGAGGAAAATAGTTACTATGGGCAAATTCAGTCTCAAAAGTTGCATATATGTTAGTCCTCCTGGACTTGAACTTTATTTAATAAGGGAGCCAGTATCCAATAGATTTCTCCGTGTGTGTGTGTGTGTGTGCTCACGCGCACGTGTGTGCATTTGTGTGTGTTTTTTAAATGACAGAAATACACAGGGGCATTGTACCTCTTTTGTAATCTTAATGGCAATCTGGTAAATTTTACTCTAGTAGGGTTGTGATTTCACGAAAACATCTTATAATTACATATCATAGAATGAATTGTTGATTTTTCACCTGCATTATAAGCCATCTGGTGTTAAGTGTCATTAATATTAATTATTGTCTTTCCTAGTCAGCTGAAGTTGAAAGCATCTGTTTCCATTAGAAACAGAGGCAGAGAATCAATCTGCCATGTGAGGCAAGGGGCTTTGTAAACAAAACTTTTGCTGCAGAGTCAAATGTAAAATTTGACTAATCAATATTTAAATGCTTAAAGGTAGTGCACATTTTCTAATTTGTAAAAATTTAGTTTGCTTGCATTGGAAGTTACATGGTTAGCTGACTTCTCAAAATGGATTTACACATCTTATTATTTTTATCTTTGCCAAACTGTCACTCCTTGACTAGTTCTACTTCACCATTTACCAGTTGTACATGGCTTTTGGGTGGGTTATTTAACAGCTCTGATCTGGATTGTTTCATCATTTCTAAATAATATGCAGAGTGATTGTGAAGATTATATGGTGGTGCACAGTATCAACACCCATCCCCTGCATGTGGTTACCAACTATTCTCAACTGTATAGTAGCTCACGTTTTCATTAATGCTGAAATAAATCAGGAAATAAATGGGCCAGAATTTGAAATTCATTGTTATTAAGCCAGAATTTTAAAAATCCAATCCTTGAAATGTAATGATGTGTCATTTTCTTAGAATCACTGAATTTTACATTGCCTTTCCTGAGGGAAGTTGAGAACCCATTATAGAGATAGTATGTAATTAACTTTTTTAGCTATTTAGGAAGCCCCATCTGGAGCTGCCATTATTTTATAGATGGTAACAGAGGCCTTTGGGTGAAATAGCTGGTTAAAATTTATCATGATACAGTTATAAAGTGAATGTGAGAAAAGGGAGATACCAAAAATATTGTTTATAATCATGTTGAGACATATAATTTTATAGCATTTTCTTAAGCATCCTTGTTCACTGGGCAATCTACTCTTCCTAATACTTGAGAATAAAACTGAGGGACCTAAGGGCTTACTATACATAATTTTCTACTAACTAGAAATAATTGTGGAAAATTGCTTTTAATTTTGATTCTTCTAGTTCAGTAGTAGACTTCCTATGGCAGAAGTTGTTTTAAAGGATTAAGAACATATTCAGCAGATTATTAGACATATGGGAGAAATGTTTAGTCTGATTTTCAAAAGCTATATTTTGTTATGAAAGAGTTTGTTTATTTTTCTGCTTACATCAGAATACCTTTTTTCCCTGGAACATATCGATTTTGTTTTAGAATAGCTAATTCATTTGCTATTTCTGGTTTCAAAGTGAGACTATCAAGTTTATGATAACAACTTTTTGGGTTTGGCTGAGTTAGTTATTTTCTTATATCTTGTTTTGTGGGGGTGAGTACAGGTGTGGAAGAGGATAAAGGATGGGGTTTAAAGGACTGTTCTCCCTGAGGGTAGAGGCTGTCTGAACCCTTAGGTTCAGAACACATGAAACAGGGCCTAGAAGCTCCAGAGAAAATAATTTAGCTACAGCTAGACAGACATCAAGTTATTGAAAAAGACTCAGACAGCAATAAATATTTGTGAGCCAGTAGGATTGAAATAGGAAGCCTTTTCTATTCATTTTGAAAAATGATCTTTTGCCATCACTGTGTGCAAAGTATGGTGTGATGTGCTGTGGCTAGAGGATAGGGAAAGTGCAGTGGAGTTCTCAGATGAGAAGATAAAATCACTGCGTAGAAACCCACAGCTATTGAATAAGGTAAATGACTGGATAGAAGGGTAAGGGCAATAATCAGGTTATCTATATTTTAAAAAGGGATTTCATCATGAGGAATTGCTGTGTATGTAGACCCTAAACTGTGTATGTAGCTTAGGGTAAAAACAATCATAAGGAATGGTCATTTCTCCACCAAACTGCTTTTTCTGTTATTTTGTTATTGATATTTTAGATTTTCTTCAGCTAGCCCTTCTATTCTGCCACTGTTTTCCCATTTCCTAGGCTCCAGTATAGTGTTTTTGTGATAATGTATGCTTGCTCACTTTTTATAGACGCAGATAATGTACAAGTGGATAGAACCCAAAATCTGCAGGGAAGATCTCACCGATGCTATTAGATTGCCCCGTTCTGGAGAGAAGAAAGATTGTCCACCTTGCAACCCTGGATTTTATAACAATGGTTCATCTTCATGTCAACCCTGCCCTCCTGGGACCTTTTCAGATGGAACAAAGGGTAGGATGTCAGTGGTCCATGAGTTGAACCTGTAGCAAAATAAACTTGTTGGACTATTGTGACCTTTTTCTAAATTGTTTTTATGGAAGAATTCTTTTAAGAGACAATTTTCTTATCTTATTGAGACCGAAAGTAGATAATAGCATTGTGAGACCACAATGGCTTATTTAACATATGAAGTGATCTGTTTTAATGGCATGTTGTATGACACTCTCTCAATGGAATAAGTGTAAGTTATGTGTACACATACACTGCAGAATAGTATACCACTATGCAAGCAAAAATGCCAAATATATACACATACCCACACATTCTACCCAGAATTTTTCCCAGATCACTTTTTAAAATTTACCAATTTCTAAGGAAATTGGTGGACCAATCTCTCCCCTTTCCACCTCCCTCTCTGCTAATTATGGTTTTGTGATGCTTACAGGAATGAGAAGTTGTCCAGATGCAGTTTAATTTTTTTTTTTTTTTTTTTTTTTTTTGTCTTTTTGCCCCACTTGTCTTCTGTAGAATGTAGACCATGTCCAGCGGGAACGGAGCCGGCACTTGGGTTTGAATATAAATGGTGGAATGTCCTTCCTGGCAACATGAAAACTTCCTGTTTCAATGTTGGGAATTCCAAGTGTGACGGAATGAATGGTGAGTTCAGAGACACCATCTTGGCAGCAGATACCATCCTTTTATAGACTCAGCTCTTTAAAACATGCCAAATATAGGCACAAGGAACTTCAGTCTTATTCAGCTATGTGTCCATCTTCCAGGATTCACATTAAAACAGTAAATACAGGCAGATGACCTTCCTATAAAAAACATAAAATGCAGCAGTTACCCCCTTTTCTATACTTTTACTTTCTGCAGTTTCAGTTACCTGCAGTAAGCAATGGTCTAAAAATATCAAGTGGAAAATTACAGAAATAAACAATTTGGGAGTTTTAAATTGCATGCTATTCTAAGTAGCTGATGAAGTCTCACGCCATCATGCTGTGTCCCACCCAGGATGTGAATTATTTCTTTGTCTTATTACAATGCTGTTCAGCTATACAGTCTGTCCACTGGTTACGTGGTAGCCATCGTAGTTAACAGAGCCACTGTGCAGGTGCCACTTGTTTGTTCAAATAACTCTTTACGTAATATGGACAGTTCAGGGATGCCAAAGAGAAGGTGCTGAGTAGTGATGCTGGCAGTTCAAATGTGCTTGAGAGAAGCCAGAAGTGCTTCCTTTAGGTGAAAATGTAAACATTCTCAACTAAGTAAGGAAAGAAAAATGTTGCATGCTGAGATTGCTAAGATGTGAAATTGTGAAGGTAGAAAAAACTAAATTTGTTCTAGTATTGCTATTTTATTTCAAGCTGCAAAAATTACAGCTGCAGTGTATGATAAGTGCTTAGTTAAGATGGAAAGGCATTAAATTATGGTGCTCAGTTTTATCCAGTTTTAGACATCCACTGGGGTTCTTGGAACATGCCCTGAGAATGTATTAGTTTTGCATTTTTTTTTTTTGGAGTCAGTTTCAAAGTAGATATTGAAGATCACCATTTATGACTATAAATACCAGTATAGAATTGCCAAGGTAACAAAATCTGTGTTGTTTACCCTAAAGAGGAATATGTCAGCATCTCTGTCTTTGGCTCAATACTGTACCATGGTAAAGGATTTATGATCTCAAATTCCCTTTACCATAGAGTCTGTGAGTGTGTTAATTAAATACGTATGATCCCTACTAATCAAAAACTTGAAAATGTGGCTGAGTTCTGTAGGACTGTTACTCAATATTATTGTTTCCATAGTGTTTGTTGGTTGAATGAATCACATTATCAACCTATGTATTTTTAAACTTGACACTAGAGACTGGTACTAAAAATACCAGGGCTTTACACTGAAATGCATCCTTTAATTTTATCAGTTCATTAGTATTTTTATCAGCTTTCCTTTCTCCATATTATACTTGTTTATTATGTAAACACACACGCATGCACACTCACACAAGGCACACTTTTTAAATGCATATGCTTTAAGTTAGTACCTTGCCAAATAGACATATTTGGGATGTAGGAAGTGATATGTACACATGGATAGTGAGATTGGCAAATAATATGTCTTTGAATAATATTGATTAAACAGATGAGTGAAAGAGGAAAAGATAAGACCTTAATATATCAAATGTGAAATATTCCTCTTTTTAAACTAATAATCCCAATTTTAGGAATTTATTCTGAGGGGGGGGGAGAAAAAATATCACAGTTATTATCTGGCCATGAAGGTTTATATTCCTAAAATATGTCCTGTGATTGAATTCTAAGTATATGAAGTTAAAACCTATTGAAAAAATAAAATCGGGAGGACCAGAGTATTGAATGAACTATAAAAGGAGTAAGATGTGTGTGTGTGTGTGTGTGTGTGTGTGTTGTGTATTCACTTGGTAGATGAGATTACATGGAACTTTTATATGATCTTACCAAGGCTTTACTCTAACTCTCTATGACAATATTGATTTACTTGCTTACTCTTTTACTTAGAAGGTATATTTTTTATATTTCCATTAAGTTTTACAAATGTTAAATTATTTTAAAAGCATGAAGCTCTGTTGTAGTATTGTGTGATAACGAAATAGTAAACAGTAAAGAACACAAAGATACAAGGTGGTGTATGTTTCTGTGATGTCATAGCATCAACCTTGTGTGAGGAGCAGCACTCCGAGGAGGATCCAGTGAGAGGTGGATAGCCTGCCTGTTGGGACAGTTGCTGCCCATGGAGTTAGAATGGGTGTGGTTTGACCGACTTGACTGTGTGGCTTGGAATGCTTTGAGGCTCATCATTCTCAGTATGAATTCTGCATACTTTTAGAACAGATATGGCGAAGTAAATTTTTGTGTATTGGAATTATGTTTAAAAGGAATTCCAATGCAGTCATTATATGGATTCTATATAAAAAATAATTTTACAATCTGGTTCAGGAATTTTTAAATCCTATTTTACAACTCAATAGTAACTTCTGGGGATTTATACCAAGGAAACAATGTGATGTAAAGAAGGAAATCATATCAAAAGATATTAATTTTAGTATTTATAAGAGGGAAAAGAGGAAAAACTGAAATTTCAACAATGCAAGTATGGCTAAATAAATTATGTAATAACCATCTAACATTATTAAATTATGAAAACTAGAAGTAAAGAGGATTTTTAATGAGGAAATATTTTTGATATAATGATTTGAATAGATAATGCTAAATGAAAAAAAATCAGAAAATAAAATGGATTATATAGTAAGTCTTAGATGTATTAAACAAAAGTATACAATAGAAAAATCACTGAGAGAAACACCAAAATATTGAGGATATAACTGGGGGTGGGAGGATTCTATGAAGTATGAAATTACTCCGTTTACTTTGCTACATTTGGTAAGTGTTCCTCATGGACATATATTGCTTTCAGAATCAGAGTAACAGCAGGAGATATTGTTTGAAAAATATATCCATTTGACCCGATAATTTCTTTACTGAGATTCTTTTTAATAGAAATACCTAAGTACAGAAAAACCACCAAATGTATTCATTATATTGTCATCTATACTAATTAAAGGCAAAAACAGTCTAAATGGCTAAAATGGATGTGTGGTCAACGTTGAATGATTTGATAAATTGTGAAAAATAAATTTTACCTGTCTAGATCATAAAATGTTAATGTAGTTACTAACATATGGATGAATTAAGTACACATAAAATACTTATTAAATGGTATTCATTTATAAAACGTGATATTCAAGGTTATCTGCGGTAGAGCTCAGGGGTATAAAAGCACACATGCACTGAAGGACAGTAAAAGAAACACCTCAATTGTTAATACTGTTGTTTCTGATAAGATTATAAGTAATTTTAGGTTTCATCTTTTAAATTTTTTGTAGCCTTAATATTTTTATAAGAAATATAAATATGGTTTTAAAAAACAAAAATTTCAAATATAAAGTGTATATAGAAAGATGGAAAGTGTGGAATTTACTTAGACAAACACAAAATTGCACATGCTCTTGTAAAAATGCACACACAGACAAAACCTGGAAGGGAATGTCTAAAAATTTTAACAGTTATTAGGGTGTTAGTTTAAAAGTAAATGTTTTTTAAAAAAAATTTTTTAATTTGTTTTAACTAGTTATACGTGACAGTAGAATGCATTTCTGTACTTTGATATATCATACATAGATAGGATATAATTTCTCAGTTTTCTGAGTGTACATGTTACAGAATCATATTGGTCATGTAGTCACATATATACATACAGTAATAATGTATGTTTCATTCTATTATCTTTCCTATCCCCACATTCCCTCCCCTCCCCTCCCATCATTTCCCCCTGCCTAATCAAAGGTAATGCTATTCTTCCCTAGTGCCCCCTGCCACCTTATTGTGAATTAGCATCCGCATATTAGAGAAAACATTTGGCCTTTGGTTTTGAGGGATTGGCTTATTTCGCTTAGCATGATATTCTCCAACTCCAACTATTTACTGGCAAATGCCATAATTTCACTCTTCTTTAAAACTGAGTAATATTTCAAGTTTCTGAGATCATTTTAGCTGATAGTGTTCTACATAGTTGTGATGATTGCGAATGGATGAAATGACAACTACCTCACAGTAGAAGGCTGGTGCTTCCTAGGTTTCTACCAATTTTGATCTGTCCTACTTTTCAGAGCTCTAGTTTAACATTCCTGAGTTGTGTTGTACAACACAGTGACCATTAGCCCCATGTGGCCATTGAATACTTGAATTGTGACTAGTTCAAATTGATGTGTACTGTAAGTATAAAATAAGCATAAGTATATTCAGTGTTTCAGTATGAAAAAAGGTGAAATGTCTGCTAATTCTTTATATTGATTACATTGGATCTCTTTATTTTCTGTCGTTGGTGTCTTTCTTGCTTAAACTGGTATGGGCATATTAGTTCCCCAGGGAACTGCCCAACAGAGTCCCCTGTATGGATGGCTTAAAACAACAGAATTGTATTCTCAACACTTTGGAGGCCACACATCAAAGTTTTACTGGGTGATGTTCTCTGAAGCCTGGAGGGGAAGATCCATTCTTGCCTTTTCCAGCTTCTCATGACCCCAGGTGCTCTTTGGCTATGGCAGTTTAATTTAACTCTGACCTCTCTTCTTCACCTGGCTCTCCTCCTTCTGTGTATGTCTGCATCTTCACATGGTGTTGTCCCCTGTGTGTCTGTCTGTCCTTATTTCCCTCTTCTCCTGAGGACACCAGATGTTTTGGCCCATCATAATGACTTCATCTTAACTTTGTTTTGGCTGCCAAGCCTCTATTTCTAAATAAGGTCCTGTTCACAGGTATTGAGAGTTAGAATTCCAACAAATCTTTTCTGTGATTCAAACCATAGTAATAAATGTTCTGTTTGACCTACTGTTTGGCTAGAGTTGCCCTGAGAGTAGTAGCCGAGTTCTTACAAGGTAGTGCCCCAAACTATACTGACAGTGGGACCAGTTGGGATTCCAAAGAAAGAAGCTCTAGATATTAGGATGATCAGTCCAAAGCACTTTTTAGGAAAACTTACATACTGAGTGTTACAACATAACTTCCCAAAGGCACAGTGAGTTTGGAAGATTCTACCTAGGTTTTTCTACACTGAGGGTTAGGACAGAGTTTACAGGAGGGTTTGAGGAACTTGGCTTAGGGACAGGGCTGGTTTATTTCAGAGTTTTGAGCAACAGTGTAAACACTGTATCAGGCTTGGGAATCGTCACCACCCCTGGATTGGGTTCAAGCTTGCTGGAAAAACATGCATCTGGCCAGGTCATGGGATGATCAAGGAATTCTGTATTTCTTGGTCAGTTCAGAAAGAACATGGAAAACATGGAGGACTCTACAATAGGCAATATGGAAACACAAGAGATGTTTCCTTTCACAGTTTTAGTAATCCCTTCCAAATACTGTTCTCTTGATATGCCTTTTAATCCTTCCTTTTCTTTGTCCTTTCCTGCTCTTCTGTCTTTCTTCGTGGCATTTCTGAATGTTAGGAGGCATTCTTAGGAAGCATTTGTGAAGTCTTCCCTTTCACCCTCACCACACAATAGCAGTAAACCTAAAAGCTTCTCATATTATCTCCACTGCAGTCATGAGTATCTCTTCCACCGGACCAGTTTGTTTTATGGTTATTTAACTCTTAGCATTAGGAGTTGATTTGCTTTTTTTTTTTTTCTTTTAACAACCTTTAGATAGCAGATCAATGAGCACTTAGAAGCAGTAGATTAGTATATATTATTTAAAAGACTAGCTTGATTGAGGTCTATTTAACATGCTACCTTTCTATAACTGTTGATTATGTGTTTCAAAAACTACTGAATTACCAATCTAGCACTAATATAAATCCTTAGTTTCTTTCTCTTACTTCTTGAAGTAGTGATTATTGACATTGATTACTATAGACTAGGATTTTCTATCTCAGTGTATTAGAATGAATAAAGACTGTTTAGTTTTTTTAAACTCATGCTTCAGTGAGAAAACTATTGTTGGTTTTACCATTAGATAATTTTATGCAGAACAGTACATTCATAAACTCTTTATTGGTATCTACAAGTTTCCCTATGTATGCAATTTACAACTGACTTAAAAACAGGGAATTCTTTGGAGTATTTCTAACTTTGAACATAAACACTAATTCCCTTGTAACTTTTATCTTAAATAAAACTATTTTTGAGTATCATTAATGGAATTTTTACTAATAAAAATGTTTTCTTTTTTTTTAATTCACAGGTTGGGAGGTGGCTGGAGATCATATCCAGAGTGGAGCTGGAGGTTCTGATAATGATTACCTGATCTTAAACTTGCATATTCCAGGATTTAAGTAAGGAAAACCAATTCTGATTCCTTTCTGTAAGAATCTTCACACCTGATTCCCTCTAGAAATAGAAGTATGGCTGCCATTATTGCATATATTAGTATTGCAAATCTTAGTAAAATAAGCTGTTACAGAATTATGTATTAAATTTAGGAATATCTGTAGAATCAGTGACTGAGAAACTACAAATGTTTAGTTGTGTGTTGCTGGAGTGAAGCTAAAAATTTTTAGAATATTACATCAAAAGCTATAATAACCATTATTCTTGGATGCTTAATGAAGAATCTTAGCCTAAGTTGTTTGCAGGAGTATTTTTTGGTTTATTTATTTATTTTCTCAGTTCTATCTGTAAAGGAAGATGTTACAAATTGATTAATGTCATTTTGCTTTTGTCCCCCTTGTTGAGATTTCCCTGTAGAGGTCTTTATTTTTTTTTAAATAATTTTTATACCTTTATTTTATTTATTGAATTTTATGAGGTGCTGAGGATTGAACCCAGGGCCTCACATGTGCTAGGCGAACACTCTACCGCTGAGCCACAACCCCAGCCCTAAGAGGTCTTTATTCTTGCTTTAGGATCAATGGGAGCATATACAGCAGGAGATGCAGGCATATTTTCATGGCTGTGTAGACTTCCCCTTAGAACAAGGGGGTGGACTTGCAGAATCTGAGTGAGGAAGAAGTTGTGCTTTGTAGGAAGCTATAGAATAGGGAAAGAGAAGAACTACGTACGTAGTTTTCAACTTAACAGGAAAAGTGGCTTAATTTTGTTGTAAAATTGTATTTAGGACATAATGTAAATATTGCAATTTTAATCTGTCAAATAGACCACCAACATCTATGACTGGAGCCACAGGTTCTGAACTAGGAAGAATAACCTTTGTCTTTGAGACCCTCTGTTCAGCCGACTGTGTCCTTTACTTCATGGTGGTAAGTAGAAGAGAAGCTTTCAAAGGCAGATTTCAGAATTCTTAGAAGTTTCTAGAAAACATTTAAACATGTCTAAAGAAGTCATTAAGAATTGTGCAAAACAGCTCATAAAGAAGACATTTATTCCTCCTGGGGAGAAATAAGTGAAGAGGCCCAGGTGACTGAGAAAGTCCAGGGAATATTAACCTGTAGAAAATTCCTTTGTAAGAAATATGCACCAGCAGAATGAAAATTCTCCTTAATTACCAGTCAGCAATTTAAACTCTTAGGAAGGAGAAGTGTATTAATAAGTGAGAGCAGAAAATAATGAAGGTGTGGAGCATTGGGAAAAAAGAAAAATTTTCTTATTAAATTTAACACATTTAGAAAAAGGACTTTACTATCCACATGTCATAATTTTGCCTGTTTCTTTTCTTACTCCTAGCTTGAGAAAAGTAACAATTCAGAACTCACCAAGAACTCAAATGGATTTTAGGAAATTGTTGGCTAGGATTTTAAGATTACTTTTTGGGGGCAGTACTGGCAGTTAAACCCAGGAGCATGAAACCACTGAGCAACACCCTCAGTGATTTTCGTTTTTTTTATTTTGAGGTAGGGTCTTGCTAAATTGCCAAGGATGATCTCATTTGTGAGCCTCCTGCCTCAGCCTCTCAAGTTGCGGGATTACATCTGTGCATCATGGCATCTGGCTTAACAGTACATTTAAATAGTGACTTCATAGATCTGCTCTGTTTTTGTTTGTGTTTTTCCTCAGCAACCCTTTATTAACTAGTTAATAGATCATTAACGACTTCCCCCATAATATACAAGATATGTGGAGATTTGAATGTTTTGTGATTACTAACTACTTAAATGGAGACTAATTTATTCTGAAAAAAAAATATTGATTTTATAGCAGTGAAAGAAATTATGGATGATCTTCAATACATCTATTTACCACAAATAACCAATAGGTCTTCAGTTATTCTGGTGCTGTTTCCTTATTTCTTTAATCTGTTAGATGGTGCCATTGCTGAAATTCAAACTATTGTCTTTCAACTAGACTGTCAATAATCTCTTACTTTGTTGTTATGTCTACTCTATCATCTATGCTGCTGTCAAAATTAAAATGTAAATTTCCAGGCCCTATTCTAGACTTATAGGAGCTCTGTGGATGAAACATAGCAGTCTTTATTTGTAAAATATATTACATGTCTATTAATACTGAGTTTGTGCTTTATTTTATATTTTTCCACTCTTTTAGGATATTAATAGAAAAAGTACCAATGTGGTGGAATCATGGGGTGGAACCAAAGAAAAACAAGCATACACCCACATCATCTTCAAGAATGCCACATTTACATTTACATGGGCATTCCAGAGAACTAATCAAGGTCAAGATGTAAGTTCCAAACACTCTTTTTTTTTAAAAATACATAAAGATGGTGCCCCCTTGTGGAGATGCACACAAAGAGATTGCGCAAATATGGATGAAAAAGACTTAGATTTTTATTCATGTGGAATCAGTCATCTGGCTAAGTAATGGATTGGTGTAAAAATGGGTAACTTATTTTATCTTTTGAGGGTAAGAATGTCTGAAATGTAATAACAATATTTCTTTGAATTATTCTGAATTCTGAACTAATTATAGTTGCTTAAAGCTTAAGAGAAAATCTAATTTTATAGCTATTTAAAAACTTGTCTCTATTAAAGCTTTCTGAGATTTTGAGAAGGTTGGTAACTGTCTTCTTTGTCTGAATTATCTGGTGCTGTTTGATTTTTCTATGATTTTATCTCTTAGGGAATGTGTCAGTACACACAATTGGGTTAACACACAAGATCATTTCCTTTTTTGTATTTTTCTGGCTAGATAGACCTCATTCCCCCCTGCCCTAAGTAAATTCCATTGTGTGTTTTGATGGTAGTAGGACTGTTCTTTTTTGTGGGTCTTTGTACATATGACCTTAGCAGGATGAGAACAAGGTGAATATCTTGTTCAGAAATGGCCTTAATGCTGTGGCGGCAAATTAGTACATTTTCTGTCTTCCCTTGAGGCTTCCGGTGGGGAATATATTCTCCAGATTTTACCTGATTCCACTTGTTCTTCAGGAGGGTTAAGATCACCATCTTGTGGGTCATGAACATGTGATGGGATCTTACTTCTTTCTTCACTTCTTTTCTATCTTTGCCCAGGTTCAAAAAAAAAATGCCATTTGGATAAACATTATTCTACTAGAGCTAAGTTCACTGCTTGATGAAAACCAGACCTTAATTAACCCAATATCACAAGAAGGAAAATATAGTAAGATCCAGGATCTTGCTCCCTATTTCATATCCTTTCAGCAGAAATAAATATACCTTTATGAGCAAAAACACTAGAGAAGAGAAGGAAAGCTGAAAGGAGTGATGTGATTTTATCAGTATTACACAGCTAGTGTCTGAGTGGGGACAAGAGGTCCTAATCTTCCAGGATTTTCTGTTCCTTAGTCTATTGGTTTTCTACCCTACCTCAGTGTGTCACTAGATTTAGACTTAGACCTGAATAAACAATGATGAGAGAAAAGTTGCTCCTTTACTAAAGTTCAGCAGTTCTTCCAAACATAAAAGTCTATAAATATGCTCGAGTTTATACCAAATACGACACATCTCATGTCAATTGTGGTGAGACTCCAAGTTTCCAAATTCAAGATTTAGGATTTTTTAAAAAAGAAGGACCAAATAAGAGTGATATTAATTCATTGTCAATTACAAACTATTAGGTTGGAACACTCTTCTTAGTTGTTTTGGTGATATCAACATAAAATGTAATCTAGTTGTACAACTAAGCTCCAAGGCAGAAGTCATTACTTTCTGCTTTCTTTTTAGAATAGACGGTTCATCAATGACATGGTGAAGATCTATTCTATCATAGCCACTAATGCAGTTGATGGGGTGGCGTCTTCATGCCGTGCCTGTGCCCTTGGTTCTGAACAGTCGGGCTCATCGTGTGTCCCCTGCCCCCCAGGCCACTACATTGAGAAAGAAACCAACCAGTGCAAGGAGTGTCCACCTGACACCTACCTGTCCATACATCAGGTCTATGGCAAGGAGGCTTGTATTCCCTGTGGGCCTGGGAGTAAAAGCACTCAGGTAAGTAGGCTGTGTTTCGGTTATTCTCAGAGAAGCATATTTTAATAGGTCAACTCAAGAATTCCCCTTAATGTTTCTCTAGAAGTTATAATGTTGCTATTTATTCTGGGGAAAAAAGAGGTTTTTAATTCCCTTTCCTGTTTGCTCTCTTTTTATGTTTATGCAGCACTGAATGCGTACTATGAATGGGCTGGTTACTAAGAACTTAAAATGTTAAGCAAAGAACTCAAATAAGAAATGTTTTCCAAAAAATGTTAGAATTGATTTCTTATGCATTATTAAGGTAGAGCACATAAAATACTTTTGTAGGTTGGCTGTAGGAATTATCTGAGATGTAGAAAGTATATCTTACAACATTTAAAGTACAGGTTAATGTTATATTACAGACGGAAGTGAAAGTAGTTTTAAATTGGCATAACAGGAAATTTTTACTATTTCTTAAAGTACCTTCCTATAAGAAACTTATTTGAGAATAACTTTACTCTGACTTTAAAAGAATCTGAGGCCTCTAAACTCTGCCTAGAAAAATTTACAATGTAGAAATTTTCTGTATTAGGATGGTAAAATATAACAAAGACAAAATTACTGAAATAGTTTTTATACCTAGAACTTTTAAGGACACATTTTTAGTAGTAGTTAATACTTTCTTTATTTCAATATTGTTTCTTTGTGTTTTATTCTCTTTAAATAAAGGATCACTCAGTTTGCTATAGCGACTGCTTTTTCTACCATGAAAAAGAAAATCAGAGTTTGCATTATGACTTCAGCAACCTCAGCAGCGTGGGTTCCTTAATGAATGGGCCCAGCTTCACCTCCAAAGGAACAAAATATTTCCATTTCTTCAATATCAGTTTATGTGGGCATGAGGTGAGTTTTAGATATCAAGAAGAGACAGAGCTATATACTAGCTCTGATTAAGTTGATATTTTCTGTGTTGGTAAACCAGTAAAATCTCCCTGGGAACTAAAAACCAATGTCAGGAACTGAGCTTTGATTGCTTAAATCCTCTGTTCCCTCTTATCATATTTACAGCTTTCTTTACCAGGGTTGACATCATTTGGTTCTCTGTCCATCAAAGCATTATTCGGTTAGCTGAACCCCAAGACTTGGAGCTGTGGTGAAGTGCATTGAGAGTCTTTCTTTTTCTTTTTCTTTTTCCTGATAAAATTGGGCGAGGCTTATCAAACCCCACCTATCTTTTCAGGCAAGCAATTGTGATTTGAGAGTTTTATTCTTGCTTATTGTATTATGGTTCTCCAGAAAAACAGGAAAAAAATTTATATGAGAAAGGATTTGTTAGGGGAATTGGCTAATGTGATTATGGAGGCCAAGAAATCCCATCTAAGTCGGAGACCCTGGAATACTGGCAGCATGTCTGAGTCCTAGTCCAAAAGGTTCAAAACCAGGATGCCATTGGTGTAATTCTCAATTGAGACTGAAGGCCTGAGAACCCCAGAGGTGGGTGGGTGGTGGGAGTAGGGCTGCTGATGTGATCCCTGGAGTCCCAATGCCAGGGAGCCTGAAGTTCCAATGTCCCGGGCAGGAGAAGTCAAGAGTACCAGCTCCAGAAGTGAGAAGAAATCCTTTCCCTCTGCCTTTTTGTTCTATTTGGATCCCCAGCTAATTGAATGGTGCCCACCCACCTTGAGGTGCACCTTCCCAGTAGGTCCACTGACTTACACACCAGTTTCCTCCAGCATCACCCTCATAAACACTTGCAGAATTAATACTTTGCCAGTTCTCCAGGCTTTCCTTCAGCCAGTCAAGTTAACAAATCAACCAGCGTGCTTATATTGTCAGTTTTGTGTCTTCAGAAGAAAAATGATCGTTAAGAGGAAGTTTTACAAAATAAAAAAGAGATATGCAGGGACAAATATCAATTGATAAGGTTGCCTCTGCTAATAATGGAATTTTTTTGTTGTTGGAGGAAGCACAAACTTAAGTGATACTTTTTTTTTTTTTTAGTGGATCTACGTGTCCAATATTTTTATGGACATATGAAGTTGGTGCTGTGAAGAATGTATATGTATATACCATCAACAAAGTTGAGAATATAATAAGGCATTTCCTCCGTGTCTCTTTCTATAGTAACTTCTAAATATTTTCTTCATTATGAAATGCTGTATCAAACTTGTTAAAAGGAAATAGAGATCTGATGAACACAGAAGTTTAAAAAAAAAAAAAACAGATCTATACACTTTACATGATGTGTATTTGTCCTTTCCTGACTTTACATGGAGAGATCCAACATACATACTTACTATACGGGTTAGTCACCCAGTCTGTTCAATAAGTAAATTTATATTAAATACCTGATGTATGTCAGATATTATATGAGGCACGGAATGAGGTTAATTCCATTATCTAACACATTTCCTAGTTTTATTCTACTGTCTCTTCTTCCATCTTCTCTCTTTTTTTTTCTTTTTGGGGGGTGGGGAGTGGGTTCAAGGGATTGAGTTTAGGGACACTTGACCACTGAGACACATTCCCAGCCCTATTTTGTATTTTATTTAATGACAGGGTCTCACTGAGTCACTTAGCACCTCACTTTTGCTGAGCCTGACTTTAAACTCGCCATCCTCCTGCCTCAGTCTCCCAAGCTGCTGGGATTATAAGCATGCATCACCGCCCCTGGCTCTTTTTATTCTCACTTATTTTATTTTAGTCTTTCCTTTGTTTTCCCTTTCTTTCCTCAGTACGTTCTCTCTGCTCTTTTCCATTATTTTGCCTTAGCTTCAACAATTTAAGATTCGCAAAAAAATATATAGAATCCTTATTGGGGTCAGAAGAACTTGTAGAGGGAGAAAAATTTATATGTCATGATTGCAAATTGCATTAGGAAAGAAAAATCTGTATACTTTATGTCTTTATTTTATTTTATTTTACTTTATTTTTTGGGGTACCAGGGATTGAACTCAGGGACAGTTGAGCATTGAGTCACATCCCTAACCCTATTTTGTATTTCATTAGAGACAGGGTTTGAGTTGATTAGCGCCTGGCTAAATTGCTGAGGCTGGCTTTGAACTTGTGATCCTCCTGCCTCCTCCTTCCGAGCTGCTGAGATTACAGACTTTTGCTACCACACCCGGCTCTACTTTATGTCTTTCTGTGCACAGTCTATATATCTACGATAAATGAGATAGTTTTCCTATTTTCTTTTTATATTTCTTTCTGGAAATTATGGAGCAAGCTATAGTTCTTTGTGTTGGGACAGCAGTATATTTAAATATACTATGTTTAAACCATCTTTCAATTTTTACAAATAAATTTTGCATTCTAGCTAATGTCTAAATAATTTTAAAAATTAACCTCTTATATTGTCTTCATTTTATAGTTAAACAGATTCACATCACTGGATCTAAGAGTAGGTGAATAAAGATACTTGCAGTAGGTGAATAAAGATACTGTTTAGAATTTGGACGTGCTGGGTTTTTGCTGCATTATGACTTTTAGGCTTTCTTTTTCAGCTTTCATATTATCTTCATGCCACACTCAGGCCTGTGAAGGAGAAGGCAAGGCAAGCCTTTTTCCTTGGCATTAAAACCTTTGCCAGCAGTTTGTTGGTCTCTTTGCATTCCTTCATATCCTGTGAACTGGACTCTCATAGATGACTTAGTTATATGGCTTCCATCCAACATGAATGAAGAACAGTAGAGCTTGAATAACTGGAGTGGCTCTCAACCTGGGCTGAACATTTGCATTGCCTTGAGAGCTTTTAAAAAAACAATAATGCCTGGGCTTTACCCCAGATCCCTTAAATCAGAATCTCTGTGATGAAGAGACAGTCATGCTCTCCTAGAGCTCTCCTAGAGCAATACTAACTGAGATTCAGTTTAGAGACTGACTTTCAGTAAAACCTCTTGCGACTTTGTTTCCTAGGGGAAGAAGATGGCTCTCTGTACTAATAACATATCGGATTTTACAGTAAAGGAAATGGTGGCAGGATCAGATGATTACACCAACTTGGTAGGGGCTTTTGTGTGCCAGTCAACAATTATCCCTTCTGAAAGTAAGGGTTTCCGAGCAGCCTTGTCATCCCAGTCCATCATTCTGGCAGACACATTTTTAGGTAAGTTCCCCATGGTTAATATATGCATGCATACATTTATTCTAAAATTATGGTAATGGTAACTTGTTATGGCACTGGTGTTTACCACAGAAGATTAAGACAAACAGGTAACTCTAAATCATTATTTTGTAAAATGGTTTAAAAGCTTCTGTGTGTGGGATCTACTGATCAACCTCCCAGAGTACAAGATTCTGAATTTACATATTAACTCATATGATAAATCATGTTCTATGCCTTTCATCAGATTCTCTAAGAGTTTAAAAAGCAAAATAATTTTTAAAATGAAAGTAAACAAAACAAAAAACCAAAGCAAGAACAGTAGACAAACATAATCTAAATCTAAATTATAGTATGTGCCACTAATATACATAATCTTTTCTGAGATCCAAAGTAAACTGGTAGCAAATGTGAGGTGCTGAGTTTCTCCCCATGTGCTCCAGGTATCTGGGTCCTGAAAGCTATAGGGACGTTTTTAGAAGAAACCAGATTTGTAAGTAGTGATTCTTAGGAATCAAGTTCATTGACCTTGATTGAACCTCTGGGGTGAGGGTTTGGAATCCAGCAAGTGCCATGAGTGGTTGTGATGTGCAGCGATATTTGAGAATCCTTGCTCTCTTCTTCATAGGCATGCAGCTTCAGATTCCAGGACAAGGCCCATCACTTGGCTTGCACTCATCACCAGAACTCTGTTAGAAGCAAAGATGCTGTTAATGCTGGCATTTCAGTTCTATCATCATTTTTCTTGCCTCTTATTAAAAAGTCCGGCTTTTCTGCTTATTAGATCAAGAACATTTTAGAGTTATTTTCTGGAAGTTATTAGTGTTCACATATGTTATATAATATGTATGTATTACAAATATATTTTACACATGTATATATTGAAGTGTATATATTTTGAAATGGCATATATCTTTCTGTGCTATCCAGACTGGTCTTGAACTCCTGGGCTCAAGTGATCTTCCTGCCTCATTCTCTTGAGTAGCTGTGACTACAGATGTGCATTGCCGCAGCTGGCTGGGAACAGAAAATTTTACTTTGTCAAATATGTGTATATTGAACCATGATCAAGAAGCTATATTTGCAAAATAGCCTAGCATATTGACAAAACTCACCAGAGGATAACAATTTTAAAAGTAGATTTTTGAACTAATCGAACTGGAAAGAACTTTAGAGAGTATCTAGGTTACTTCATGCATTCAACAGATCCAAAAATAAGACCTAGGGAGGTTAAGTAACTTAAGTTAAATTGCAAGGCCAGGGAGTAGAATTTTTTCTCTTTTGGAGTGTTTGGGAAGTTCCTTATTTTTACCAGGAATGCATTAATTTAATGCAGTATTTCTGGCGAAATGACAGTTATCAAAGTAAAGCTATTTGCTATTCAGATGTACAGAAATTAAATAAAACTAGTTTTCCCATATTGCTTAATAGTTTCTTTTTTAATGTCATCTAGGCGTAACAGTTGAAACCACATTGCAAAACATTAATATAAAAGAAGACATGTTCCCAGTTTCACCAAGCCAAATACCAGATGTGCATTTCTTTTATAAGTAAGTGAAGATACTGCTTTCCTTGACTATTCTTTATCAAAAGGAACGCATATATATCTCTATATATGGATTTTTATTTCCCATTCTCTATTGTTAAGTTCCTGGGAAGATATATAATATCACCTCTGGGTAGCTTGAATTGAACAGATAATAAAAAAAAAAATTGATCATTAAATGTCTTAGTAAAAAGTAGGAAACTTGGAATATTTAAAAAGCCTTATGTGATTTCTCTCAAATACACACACACACACACACACATAAATGTATATATTATATATTTACATACACACATATGCACTTTTAAATTAGGCAATAAGGACACTCTAGTTCATTGTCTAGGTAGTAATTCTAATTCACACATCAAAACATCAGCCTAAGTAGATCTGAACCCTGTTCCCTTTAAGAATATTTTGATTATAATTTGATTAAAATTCTATAGCTTTACCAAACACCTTGATTATAGCTTTGTCACTTTGCCTGGGAAAGTTGTCAACTTGGCATAGTCAAAATAAGAGACCTGAATTTGTATTCTAAATTAGCAAACTTTAATACATTTTTCTTCTTTATAGAGCATGAGAATGATTATACACATGATCTGTGTCACCTCTGTTTTTTAAAATACTATTTGCCTCATAATAGGTCTTCCACAACTACAACATCCTGTATTAATGGCCGATCAACTGCTGTGAAAATGAGGTGTAATCCTACTAAACCTGGAGCGGGCATGATTTCAGTCCCCAGGTATTCTTATTTATATGTGATTGTTCAACATTTGTATTTTATAATACATATAATAGATATATACATACTTATTTTTAGAGGAAAAATCTAGAATCTTATTTTAAAACATTATTTATGGGAATAAAGCAGAAAGAGAACAAAGGTATCTGTAGGTTTTTGTTGAGGGTTATACTAAGCATGGGTGAAGAAGAAAGAATAGGTACCTGGTCGATATCAATATTTCCCCGTATCCTTATTCCATTTGCCTTGAATATCTAATTCTTTGAAAGTTATTTAGGTACAATTAATTACACTGTGTCCTTGTATTTATTCTTAGTGTTTCATCTTAATTTCCTTGAGAGCTGGATTAGGAACTTCCCTAGATTAGTACAAGATTAACACCAACTTGTTGGGTGATCTTGATTAAGTAATCTAACCTCCGAGTTATAGTTTCTTTCTCTGAAAGGGGATGGGACCAGGTTGGAGAGTTTGTAGGATTCATTTCCAGCTCCTCAGACTTCTGTTTCATGATAGGGGAATCACTAGTGAGTCTGGCCTAGATAAAATACAGTTCATTTCCCTGACTGACTGGCATTGAGGAAGCAGCGCTCCACAGTCTAGATATGATTATACAGTTCACTTTGTGTGGGCACAGTAGGGGAGCATAAGCAATTTCCTGGGTTTAGAAAACTATCAACTTAAGTAAAGCTTTCATGATATGAGGGACATTCAAATGTCTCTTGATTTTTATTTTTCACATTTATTGTTCAGTGTTTAGATTATTTTTCACATGTATTGTTCAGTATATAGATTATTTCTATTCTTATTAGTATTAAGGTATCTTTGGATCATAGTTCGACTTGAAGATTTTTCTCCATTAAACTGCAAAGTCATGTATTTTGAAAAAGAAAATGATTGATATTTGTTTTTTATAATTTCATAATAACCCCTGAGAAATTTTAAGCTATTTTGTTTATGTCATATCAGGATTGGAAATCAGTGGTCTAAGCGTTGCTTCATTTTGTGTATCCTAAAAATAATTATAGTGGTAACACATTGTTTTTGGTTTCTTTTGGGGTATAAAGGCATACCAGCATTCACATCTCACCAAACTGCATCTCTCTGGTTTTCACAGACCTACAAATTAATTATTATTTTCACCTATTCAAGATGAGAAAAGAACGTGATGAAAGGAGTATAAAAGGTAATAGATGGCAGAGAAAGGAGCAGGGAGAGACGGATGCTCTGTAGACTCAGAAGATCCTTCTGCAGCCTCTAAGCCAGAGTCCAGGCAGCAAACCACACTGTCTTTATGAAAAGATGTGTTCAGAGGGTACAGTGATAAAAGCTCAAGTCTTTCATCATTCTCTGATAGTCTGCCAGAGAGCCTGGAGTTCAGGTGCTCCTTCTATTTACTGTAGCACATCTGAGGTCCCTTTTGGACCTTGCAACTAACCTCTTGAGGTCTAGCCTCTGGGAGCCTAATTGGGATGGCTTCTGATGCCTCTGCTATGTCTTTGATTCAAACAAATCATGCTCCTAAAGGATAGTTCTCACCTTAAGAGAAATTATTACTCTGACTCTGCTAAGGTACGTCTTGATGTTTTAATGTAATAACAAAAATAGTCTCAAAGGGTTAAATGATGGCTTCTAGAAAGTGAACTTTTCCTTGAGAGGAGAAAACCAGTTAAGTTTCGTTTCTCACCTCTGGCAATCTTTGCCACTTAGGGAACTTAACTGTCTTTGCCAGGGTTTTTCAATATCATCTGCAACAGAATACCTTAGGGTCTCTATTTTTAAAACTGATTTCTAGAACTTACAGAATGTCTGGAGGTTAACACAGGAATATTTTTAAAAACGCAAGGTGATTATGTTGCATATTAAAATTTGAGAATAATTTATCTTAACCTACATTTTTAGATATGGCTTTTTTTTTCCCCCAGAGACAGATTTTTGCTTCTTGGTTTTGTGAAAAACTGATTTAAAATGCCATGGTCTTCAGAGTAGAGTCTTCACTGTATCTTGAGAGCTCTTTGTCTGAAGTTGTGATGCATCCTAATGTGTACAGACCATTCCTCTAGGGTAGTGCTTAAACCCCACAGTCTAAATGTGCTGACCTCTAGTTTTCCCTTGAATCTATTTCCCATCAGGGCACAAGGGGGAGCTCAGGGACAGAACATGAGAAACAGCAGCTTATCCTGAAATAATTGGATTTCTTTCTTTCTTCTTCTTCTTTTTTTTTTTTTTTTTTTTTTTTTAGCTTCAGGGCTGAATAAAGATTTCCTACAAACAGGTTTCTCAGGCTGCTTTTTAAGAGGTCTTATTTTGCACTTTTTTTTTTTAAGCTTTAAGATCTCCAGGGTAGATTGAGAGATGCTAACTAGACCCCAGTCCTTGAGAAGCCTACTGTACTGACTAAGAAGTCTCAGAGGGAGACCTTGGTAGCTTGAAAATGATTCCATCCCCAGGAATTCTCCTTCTTGGCCAAGAATACTGGCAAATCAGGCCAAAGGATATTAACAGTAGTAATGTTGGTTGAGATTTTGAATCTCAGTGGCCTAGGAAACTGTTGAAAGACCCTCAGCCCTTGAAAAGTGAAAATGTCTTAATGTGGGGTGGAGAGAAAGGGAAATGTGTGTTTACTCTGGGTGAGAAAAAGGGAATGTGTGTTTTTTCTGTGTGACACGTGAACTTCACAGGAGCAGCACGTCATCTGGGCTGCCTACTCTTGTGCAATTGAAAACACCAACCTGTCTGTTTTGTCTGGCAAATGTATTTGGTTTCTAATTCCACAAAGTTTGTGGAGGGTGTGAGACATTTTAGATGAAAATTTAGCAGCCTGGAGTCTGCCTTGTACAGTCTGACAGCTGGAATGGACTTTTGAGTTTTTGTAGTGAAGTTTGCCCCTTAAGTAGAGAATATACTACCAACCCAATAGACTGTAAAGATCCCTAGATAAACCTCCAAACTTCCTAAATAGATGTCTCTCCAGGCTTTCTAAACCTAAGTTATAATCTGAGGTGCACAGAGAAATCAAAGCCTCCTTTTTCATTAGGAGTAATGCAGACTTAAGTGTGTGTCCAAAGGACTCTAAAAATCATGAGTCCTGGGGATGTGGTTCAGTATAGAGTGCTTACCTGGCATGCAAGTGGCCCTGGGTTTAATCCCCTGTACTACAAACAGACAAACTAACAAACAAAACATCCTATTCACAAAATCATGAGAAATTATTGGAAGGTGAAAATGTTATATTGTTGCAGGAAACACACTGGTTGAAAAGCAGCAAGCAGTCCCCGGAGGGGAACTCCAAACTATTTTATCGTGGAGGGCCCAGAGGAAAACAAAACTCCAAATTCTGAGCCCTGATCCACAGTTTCTCACAACATTGATAGGTTATTTGGCATCATTTAGACCCATCCTATCACTGGGGCTTTTTTCCTCTTTAAAAAAAAATTTCCTACTCTATGGGGCGAAAGGCCTTGTACAGGGTCTTTAACATAAAGCATGCTCACAGAAACAGATAAGAAGAAAGGGGTCTTTTCACAGGCATCTGTTACATTTCAAGAAGGAGTAGTCAGACTCCTAGGGCATTTATTTACAATCCAAAAGGTAGGGTCCCATGTTTAATTAGGCTTCCTGGAGAAAGGCTGAAAGAGGGGAGGAGAACTGACCCTTTCTCCAGGCATTGGTTTCTTACCATAATGTTTTCATAATTTCATTTCATAACCAGGTTTGGTTTTGCCATCACAATATGAAGTCCTTCTTAGAAAGCAGGCTGTGGGAACCATTTTTACTTTCATAATAGATCTGCCATAGTGTCAATGAGATCCTTGAGTCAAACCCATTTCACTTCACAGAGCAGGAAACAAGGCCCCAGGTTGTGTGGCTAAGAAGTGGCATAGTCACGATGCAGTGATCTCCCGACTGCCTCTCTGGTTCTTGTCACTCCATGTTCTTTCATCTTGCCATTTCCCTTCCATTTCCTCATAGGCAGAGATTTGCATAGAATACCACTAAGCAAAGAGGCATGTGGCACATTTATCCCAGAGGGAACTAAATTGATGTACGAGATATTGGTACCTTCTTATATATAATAAGGTTGTTAAAGCATCATACTGATCTCTTTCTTTCCCTTCATCCCTCCCAATTTATGACTTTGTTTACATGCTTGAGTAGCTTAAAAATTAGTCTAAAATTGTTTTTCAAAATCTCTCTCAAATCCCAAATCCATCTTAATTTTCATTGTGATCTCTGGGGCTATTGTACCTCATGAAAGGACTGCTTCACAGTTCTGTTCAGGGGTGGGGCACTGCAGAGGTGTGCTCCACAGGCTCTAACTTATAGTCATTTTAGCAAAATCACCAGAATTATTGGATGCTAATGTAGTATTTTGTTTGGTCTTTGGTAAAGGATTGTTAAAGCCAGAAAGTCTATCCATTTTAAGTTAAGAGCCCAAGAAAGATGTTTAAGTGAGTTCCTTATTTTCTTGTTTCCTTTGAACCTTTATGGACAAATAATACATGTCTAAGTCTGTATAGGGTAAATTAAAAAGGCAATAGATCTCAAATTATTAAAGCCAAATATGTTATTAGAATATTAAAATGTATGAAGCATATAATGGCATTAGGAGCATATGTGATAACTGAAAGCCATTATGATCAAGAATTGGAGAAGTCAATACTTGCTGAAATTGTATAGTTCAAACACTAACAAGTAATCTTCAGACACAACATGATGACATTACAAGACAAAGTTTTAGAATCATTTTGAAATATGGATAATAAAAATTAATTTTTTTCCACTAGAGAAGAAAAAGAAAATGTGGATAAAAGAAAACCGGGCAGTCAGTTAAGTTTGTCTAGATCTTCATCAGATGCTGACTTTAGATAATTAATCCAGGATAGTCTCTTTAGAAAGGAAAATTTTTGTTTCAGGAGATTGGTATAATTCAATATCCCTATATCAAAGAGCTTCCAGTAAAAAAAAAAAAAAAAAAGCAAAAACACTATGTTCTTACTCAG